TGTAATGGTTGGTCACCAAATTCGAATAAAGAGAGAGCAGTTAGAAAGGTATATTTAGAGAGCATGGCCGGTAGGAGAGGAAAAGGTAGGCGTAAATTAATATGGAATTATGAGAAGGAAGATTTGAGAAACCTAGTTTTTAAAGGATGGAAAAGAAAAGCAGAAGAAATAGGGCAGTTATAATAAAAAATCCGACGCAAAACTATAAGTGGCGAAGAGCTGATAGAAGAATAAGTAGTTTTAGTGTAGGTAGATCATAATAAAGTTAAAATGTTTTTCTAATCTTTCCTACACCTTAAATATTGATGTCAGTGTTTTACTTCTTCTCGAACATTCGATAGACTCACTTGAATTGCTGATGGCTTACGGTTCGAGTCCCTACGCAAGACATTATTTCGAAGTTGTTTTTTAAAAATTTGGTTAAATACAGAGCACAGAACATGGGTTAGAATCTAGAATTGCAATTTTCATTAAAATGATCAATTTTCAAAAAATACATGTATTTATTTTATTCTGTTTCGTCTCGGGTGTTTTGTTAAGTTTTCAAGAGAAAGATGAGATACACGCAGGTTAGAAGTTGTAATATTTTATTAAACCTTAACTTACAGACACAATTAAAACGAGAAAGAATTTGCTTTTATAAGACCTCTAGTTTTGTAAATAGAACACAATTTTCGTTTCAGTTTCAAAACAAGAAACATGAGTTCTAATAGAGATAATTCAGTACGTATTTGTGTAACGAACTTCAATATATCCACATGATTGCGGTATTAATTTTCCCTGATAGAGCATTTTTACACGTACGGAAATTATTTTAAAGAACGTAATAAAATGCAATTTATAGTGTTCATTTCTTTAGAAGCCTTCATTTAAGCCAATTTACCCGCTGAGAGAAAGAAATGTACCCATCAAAAAGAATGACTAACATTTATAAAAATATTCTAAGAAATATAGTACAGTCAGATGTAACTGTTCATATTTCGTAGGGTTCTGCTCACGCATTTGACAGCAACTATCAGCTCTTTTGAATAGAATAACGGTGTTTTGAGCTGATGTGATGATACTTAGGCTGAATTGTTTTCATAATGATAATAATTATGATGATAATAACAACAATAATAATAATAATAATAATAATAATAATAATAATAATAATAATAATAATAAAAGTGCACTCGTAGAGATACTCTGCTGAGACGTTTGAAATCTCAGTGAGGCTAAAATATAAATATGCATAGAAAGACAAAATTAAAATTTATCCTATTTCCAAAATCAAATTAGCTAAATATACAAGAAGATGTGAGGAACTGCTAAATAGTGAACACAGATATTAGTTTGTCACTCCCGAGACCTCGATTAGTTTCCTATTCAAGGCGACTGATGCATTGAACAATTTATACAGCATATATATCTAATTTGATACAAAAAAAGAAGATCCATTAACTTTTAATTTACTAAATGAATTTAAATGAAATATTTCATTCAAAATAATTATTTTAATACGGTAAAACATTTTAGACAACTTTACTTTGATTTTATTTTCATTCAATGCTACAAATCACTTAATTGGGTACTCTGTTGCATTGAGATCTGTAATAGATGATCCGATCAGAAGAAAGTATTTTGTTTTTCTTGATACATTCACAGTTTTGTCTGAATGTGTGGGCATCGTCTCACTTTTAATAAAAGTAAACGCTTTTACTAGTGGGTGTGTAAAATGTATTTTTTTAACGTTGTCTAAATTTTGATGGAAGTAATCTATACAATTTATTTGGTGTGATAATTTTGTCACGTACAATAAGGCACTTCATTACCGTGCGGTAAAATACCTTTGAAAGATATGACTTCTCCACATATTGTTTATAGTATCAGTTTTCTCAAATTCATTATTTGACGTGCTTAAGAATTCTAAATCATGTCTCGAGAACCATTGAGCTTAATGTTTCAATTCACTTAGAAAATTGAGACAAAATTTAGATGTAGAGCGTATTTTCAGATACTCGAGTCAATTGTTTACGACGAAAATAATGGATGGAACTTCGATCGAAGTCCGTGAGTGTCGTTGGAATTCCTTCTGCGTGGCAGAGTGACAGCCATGTGCGAGCCAGAAATGAAGATGATTGCGATAGGGATGTGGGTGGTGTCAGCTGTGCTGATTGAGACGGGAGCTCAGGCTCAACTGCTACCGATGGCAAAGAAGCGACTGTTGTCTGGTGGTTCGCAAAGTGTTGAATGGACGGTCCGCTACTTTGAGAAGTGGCGATTTGGCCCTTTGGCTAGGTAAGATACTTAAGCTCACCATCTGTTCGACTGTGGAATGAGTTATATCACCTTATTCCAACAAGATCGATTAAACAGTAACTTGTATTATTTCATTCAAACATCAAGTTAGTTCCAAAAGACTTACATACACGCAAGTGATATAGGCACACAGTATTTTTTCACGATTATCATATTCAAATGAAATTTTATACCTTTTAGGTTATTTTCCTGAGAATATTGTAGAAAAATAAGAGAGATCAATAATCTCGTCTCTTATCCGGCAGAGATACTCTGGACGTTGCTAAGAGCTCTGAAGACCAGTGTGATAGTTGTAAACGTGTGTAAAATGTGTAAAGTTGCTCACACGTAGTGTAGGTAGTTGCATGACATTACTTTATATCGAACAATGATGCGCGAATGTATCCTCAATTTATATAGTGTAGTGATGCACAGTGATTAAATATTTATGAAAACCGTGGACTGATTTCTAATGTAATTCGGTGACTCTATATTTTGTAAATAAGAAGAATTCCAAATATCCTTTAATTAAAAGTGACTAAATTCACTCATCGTGTAAATCATTTGCCACCATTCCCCGCCTAGGATCATATGTGGTCTTCTGCCACAATATTTCACATCCCATGGATCAATCCAGATTGTATTAGTCTAGTAGTAGCTCACATACATTTTTCCGGTAACGTAATACACGAGAAGCCGAATAGAAACTACGACAAAATTAGGATACCCAATTCACCAACTTCACATTTTAATTTAAAAGTAAACAATGAAAAAAAAATCATTTGCCATCATCGGACAAGTATGATGATATGGGAAGCAGTGCTTTCTAAGATATTTCCAACGACTCACAACTGCTAGGCATATGAGCATAATTTTACTTCTGAGAAACTGCACCTAAATTACAGCATGATCATAAGACACAAAGAAAACAAGTTTTATTCATCACTTCTCATATATAATATTTCATTCATCAATTAAACTCAAGTGTTACGTGCAATTTTTAAGTTTGTGGTTTTTAACAAGTTTTATTGACTCGAAATTATTTTAAAGTTACTATTAAAAACAACTCCAGTATGAGCGATCAATATAATTAACCAAGTTGATTTTCTGTTTCCCTCCAAAACAATTACCCATGACTTACCTAAGGCATTCAGCAAGCCTAATGAGAACAGAAGTTTGGTTTACTCAAAGTTCAATGGGTCAATTTGGTTGACCGATTCCACCTGAACAGTCAAAACTATGTGACAACCATCAAATCCGAAAACAACTTCACTGCCGGCTTAGTTATGGTGTGCATCTACCGAAAAAAAATAATAGGAAAAACAATTACTTGCTTCAAGGTCGTGTTAAGGCGACAAAAGAAGTTTACATACGAAGACTAGTATATTGCGCGGTATATTTTTAAAGCAGTATTACTACTAAAAATCCCAATCATAATACGATAATTAGCGAGACTGTCGTATTTATCAGGATATCTAGTTTCTGCGACCTCCGACAAATATTTATTTATAAACTCAATCGAGAACTTGCCCTTTTAAAAATAAAATAGACTGGAAAGTTATGGAAGTATGTAAACTAAGGAAAGAAAACCAAAAGTCAAAAAATAATTATAATTCATCAAAAAATGAATTAATTAATATACCAGTTAAACAAACGGAACAAACTCCAATGTAAATAATATTTAACAAATGCCAAAAATATTTGAAACGAGTACACACATACTCGCCGAAATTACTATCATCCTTTCCCGAAAAATTACATCACCCACTGCTTGTAGCGGCGAGGGATTACAGAATATCGGTAATCTCTTATACAAAACATACAAATTCCCCAAAAACACTATCATCTTATTTGCGTTTCGGATAGTCGAATAGCCACTCACCAGTCCAGGGTGGCGGAGGAACCGCGGATACTCTGTCAAGAAAATATTATCGAAAACCTCTACTCACATCTAAATGCATAAACACACACATACATACTACAGACATATTGGTGTATATGTATATCGTATGTGAATTTCTTTACTGAGATTCTCATAGGAATAAATTACTATAATACCCTTACGAAAACATTACCGCCCCTTTGGTATCCGACCAGGAAAGGTAAACGAAATGAACCACCTTCTTGTGATGTCTAAAAAATACAGAATGTCATAGACCTCAGAAAACATCACCTCCCTTTTGCAATCCGCTCAGCAAGGCACGCGAAAGCACCCCCCTGCTTGTGGCGGCGAGAGATTACAGAATATCGGTAAAGAATCCCTCATACAAAATATACAAATTCTCCAAAAAACACTATCACCTTATTTGTGCTTCGGATACTCGAATAGCCACTCACCAGTCTATAGTGGCGAGGAACCACGGATACTCTATCAAGAAATTATTATCGAAAACATCTACTCACATCTTAATGCGTAAACACACACACATACATACACGCATATTGGTATATATATATATATATATATATATATATATATATATATATATATATATATACATATATGAAGATAGATACATACAAGAATGAGAATTTCTTTACTGAGATTCTCATAGGAATAAATTACTATAAAACCCTTCAGAAAACATTACCGGCCTTTTGGAGTCCGACCAGGAAGGTAAACAAAATTAAGCACCTTCTTGTGATGTTTAAAAAATACAGAATTTCATAGAAACATGACCTGAAATCCCTCAGAAAGCATCACGCCCCTTTTGCAATCCGCTGAGCGAGGCACGCACCTGCTTGTGGCGGCGCGGGAAGACGGAGTTCTCCATGTGCAGCGTGGCGTTGACCTCCTTGCCGGCGGCGCAGGTGCACGCCTTGAGGAAGCTCTTCTTGAAGTTGTCGGAGAGGAAGGCGTACAGCACCGGGTTCATGGCCGAGTTGGAGTAGGAGAGGCAGCCGGCCAGCAGGAAGACCGTCACGGCCACGCGCGACTGGCACTGCTTGGGCGGCGTGAAGATGAGCGCCATCTGCGTCACCCAGTACGGCAGCCAGCACAGCACGTACACCGCGATCACCGTCAGCACCAACTTCGTCACCTGCGGTCCCCGAGGAAGGACGTTACCACGAGTGCAACCGGCGCGCGACGCTGACTTTGATGAAGTCAAGGGCTTGGGAGCAGCAATGAAGTAACAGACATAACGAGTAAACCACTAATCAGAAATAATTTTTCGTGGCTTATAATGTTACTATAAAGACTTATTCGTATATATTTTCAAAACAACGATATTTTTCGAACTTCAAAAGTTAAAAGGAAGTCCTTCAGACAATCAATGAATCACATCGGATCAAAATTGTTTAACCAGTTGCCATTTGAAATCAAGTCGTGAAACAATTACAACGATGTTTTTTCTCTAAATTAAAAGATTGGTTATATAGAAAAACTGATGTTAATTTTCTTATCAAAATAACATGTGGATTCTTTTGATGATATGAATGTGCTGAAGCCTTAGTGTGTGCAGTTCGGTGGGCATTCATTTTATTTTGTGTTGAAACTGTTTGTACTTATATGGGTATACCTTTGTATAGAGAAAACTAATGATCGGAAAGACATTTACAGACGCTTTGGAAAAACAGAACTGTTGACCTACAAGTATATTACACATATTAAATGTCTGGACTCATATCTACATGTATTTTGATTTTTTTGTATGATAATATTGACCGCCAATTAATTCGCAAGATTATGTATGAGACAATGCACAATTTTGTGGATGAAAATAAATTTCTTTCTTTCTTATGGGAAAGAGCGTAAGGCAGTGACAAGATGAGACACACTTTGATCACAATTGGGATATTAATATGTACAATTGTGAGATACCTTTGGCTGATGACTTTCTCCTTGATGTCTTTCAATTTATTCAATCGAAAGGGTAGTAAGTATATTTAAATTATACGTACTCATTTCTGTAATTTTTAGTAAGTCGCAGTCAAAACGAAGTTTTTTAAACCCAGACAGGTTTAAGTTTGTTAATATTTTTTTTGCTACAAATTGAAATTATTTCATTGCTTTCGTATTTTCCCAATTCTGGGTATCTAAGGACATCATATTCACTCTTCTGTGATCGGAGACGTCGTAGTTGTCTTGCAATTTCAGTACGAAATTAAATTTAGTAAAATATATTTTTTTGTATTTTGATCGAGTTCTTGGGTATCTAACCAAACTATAGACACCATTCACATGGTCAGAAGCTTAAGAAGATTTATTTCAATTTCTACGCGCATTGGATATACTATATACGTAATATAGATGCCCGAATGAGATTTTTGAAACACATCGTTGTGATGGTTTGATGAAACTGTGAAAGTAACCTGGTTGTTGCGTCTGAATTTAAGACTGAACCTGGAGAGGGACGTCTGTAGACTCTGAAAAATGAAAACGATGGGAATGGCAATAATGTACTTGTCAGGGACTCCCCGCCAGTCAGAGAGTGTAGCACCGTTCCAGTTCAAAGAGAGGGAATGGGAGAACGACGTCACTGTTTGTGATGTAGCAGCCAGAGGACAAGAAGATAACATGGTGAGCTAGAAAGGATATAAGCGGCAGACATGAAAAGCAGTGCCCTGAGATCTCATTTGCGTTCCGAGATTGTGAATGCTAGTCTTGTTTACTCTTCTTTCAAGCATTATCTCTCATATATGAACTGTGACCTATTGCATCGACTGTGGACGAGATTACTGGGGCACTGAATAGCGGTTCGTTTTGGTTGACGACTGTGATTGTGCATTCGAATAAAGCTCTGTCGAAATTTTTTTCCCTAAGTTCTGTTTTTACAATACCAGTACATCGCACAGGATGAAGAAAATGGGATACAAAAAGAAAAGTGCGATTAAAATATGATAATGTACAGGCGTTTGTGGAGGGGAACTGCGTTGCCAGCCACTATGCGCTTATCACGTTGCGATGTAACTACAACAACATGATACACGATTAACATGAACAATAAAACTGATGATACACACTACTGAGAATTCCTGATGAAGCAATTCATTATATCACAATTTATCTCACGCTCTACAGTTGTGATGTCGCCCAGCTTTTTAACTACAATAAACGACCCATGCGATTCATTTGTTCTATAATATGAGGTGACAGCAGTACGCAAATGTCAATGATTCTGATTGGTTGATGCTTACGTTACAGCACTGACCTCACCACGTAAGGTTGAAGTAAGTTTAGGTCGGGTCCGTACCGTAGTATTTTTGGCGGCTGCCTCGAGCTGCGGGGTTCACGGCTTCGAATCGCCTTTCGGGTACCGATGTTTACTTTATGAGTTGTGACTTGGTGACTTCTATTCATAACATTAACTTGTGTAAATGTGATATATACTTAACAGCCTGCTAGCCAGGGAGATTAAGCTAGCCGTCTACGGGACACTATGTGTGTGCCATCTGGCCGCCACGAAACCTGTGTATCAGTAACAGGATACAAGTGTGCCACGGGCTTACAAACCACTAGCGGAAAAGGAGTTATTAAGTTCTTGTGACAGGTCCCACAGGAACCACAGTGGAGTGAAAAAGTGGAAGCCGGGTGGGAGGAGTTCGCAGGAGATGAACTCTACAACCATTAAAATACAAGCGTTGGATCGCAGTTTAACGGTCATCGATTGCATAGATATCTGGTGGGAACTCTACCCTAGGGTAGATTGATGAAAAGTGGTGTTAAATGAGGCAGAGAGCGCCAGCTAATAACCGAAAGCAGACGTTAAAATCGCAGAAATGGAACTCCCCTAATTTTATTCGCAGTGTATTTTGGTGTTCGATTCTTGTGAGTTGGTTTCTTGAGTTTCTCCGTCGCACGTGAATTGGAGAGTCACCGTCTTAGGAGGCTCAGAGTATCAACTAATGTCACTGCAGTACCTCTCGCCGGGAGGTCCTATGATTCCAGGCGTGGCGGTGTCAGGATTTTCGATACAGCTAGGTCGAATTGCAACGCTGTCTGGAAAATAATTGTAGCGGCCTGCTGCTCTCATCGTAATTTTCTGTTGTTTCTCCAATCATCAACAGAGACATGCCGGAGGAGTTTCCTAACAAACAGGCCACGGACAGCGGGCGTTCTATCAATCCTCTTTGTTTACCTATCCTCAACCCTTACTTACACACACGTACACTTACATTCACTACACCAACACATACCGGAAAACCAGTCGGGAGCTTAGAACTTGACCCGGTTGGGGCGGTGTTCCGCTGGCGGGAGATACCTAATTGGGGAAAACCCTGCTAGCCGACATGTAGGTCGGTGCCGGAAACCGCCATTCGGCGGGGGAAGCTCACCGCCACTTCCCACCATAAAACCACTATTTACACTTATGGCACTAATGCTTTAGTATCAGGAAACACGACTCAATGAATCGGCAAGCGAGGGAGTACCTTGCGGTGCGACTTCTTCTTCTCCTTGCTGCGGTGCTTGGGCCCCACCGTGCGCAGCTTGCGGATGACGAGGCAGTAGAAGACGAAGATGAGCAGCAGCGGGATGGCGAAGCCCAGCACGAAGGAGTAGAGCGTGAAGGCGGTCTGGCCCGACACGTGCGCGCTCTCGGGCCACAGGATGTTGCAGCTGCTCATGTCCTCGCGCTCCACCGTGCTGGCGTACATGAACACCGGCACCATCAGCAGCGCCGACGCCGTCCACGCCGTCAGCGACACCACCTGTGCAGCAGCGGCCGCAACACACGTCACGCCACCGCGCCACTCTCTCATCCAACACGGAAAGCAAGTAAATAATTTTCATGTGTTTGATAATGCCCCCCCCTCCCCCGCGGATTAACTTGAGCGTTAATAGTGAAAATAACACCAAGATTAGATGAACAAATGTTTATACAGCATGTTTATACAGTTTCTTGGCGATTTTTCTTCTTCTATTACATTCAAAAGGTTGTGATTAAGAACTGAGGATATTCTATAACAGGGTTGTCCAACTAGCGGTGACAGTTATTGTGTCCCACAATGTTTGAGGCGATCAGAAGCAATTCTTCAACAAGCATTCATTAACTTTATCAAACAAAAATTTTCAGTATGTTCAGTTCAGTATCAGTTCAAGTTTTTCAGCTATAAAAAAGTCTCTATTTTTCAGCATTATTTCGGATTAACTCATTCATAGTTTTTTTTACAATGAAGGGTATGTTTTCAGAAATTTATAAATATATTAAAAATGTCTCTGTCTCCAATTAAAAAGCCACTTTATCTGGAGTCAGTCACACTGGCAACTGAAAGGTATTGACATAATATTCTGAATGATTTCTAAACGAATTATTTTATTAAACATAAACGTCTAGAACAATTTTTTCACTAGAAAAGGTTACCAGTATTATTGTAAGTTATTAAATAACACTTACAATAAAAAAATATTGCCTGAAATACAAATAAAAATGTGTTCATTGCCTCTATTCTGCATAAGTGATGTGATAGTCATCATTTGCAGGTTCTTCTTGAACTATACCTCTAGCAGTCTTCAATTTTTTATAATAGGGGTGATGAATAAACTTCAAGAGGTCTATTACGTCTTGTTTTGCAATAGAAATCGGTCTTAATGTGCTAAGAGAAATATCTTATGAGACATTAGCTGGACTTTCAAAAGAATGCTTCCATTTTTCTTTTGGATATTAATTTTCCAAACGACATTTCTGGTAAAAATGATAAGTTGTATTTGATAGCAAATGGTTCACCCTTCACAATCCAGATACATCTCATCTCATAAATCCGGATCCATCTCTTTGTCAGCCAGTCAACTGGTTCACCTTCCACACATTTTTTCCTGTAAGTGATACATTTTTCGAAGTTTTCTCTCGAAAGGAAGTCTTCATGATTCATTTACAGGAATTAGCAGAAATACCAGTTTGTTTTCTTGCAGTCAAGAATTATAACACACCAATCCCTTGGAGAAAAGATGTGGCTACTAGTTTTTGCTCTTTTATCAATACAGAAAAAAATTGAAACAGTTCAGTTCAGACAGTTCGGTTAAACATCGGCTGTCATGTAGCCAAAAAGTTAATCACACTAGCCCCCGACACTACTGATAAAATATTTTTTGCAAAAGAAGTTTGCACATTTGGCAGTTACAGGCAAACCATTTCAGTGTGGAGTTTGTCGTCGTGGCCACTAACAAATGTTTACTTGTGGAACACAATTATGGAATCATGTCCACAATTATTCACAATTGAAAAAATGGAGATAGATTGGCTTTTGAACGCCTCGTTTATTGTGGCCCCTTGCATCTATGCCGGCCATTGTGCGCCTAGCGCACGTGCCGTGCTGGATCAACACCCCCTTAAAGGAATTTTTTTCTAGTAAATTCAGAAATTTAAAATTTGATTCAAATTTTTCTCCTAAAAAATCACGTTTATTCAGAATTACGCTCATCAGAGGGACAAAAATTTGCAGGTGTATGACAAACACTGAAATCTATCCCAGGCGGAAATACATAGATACAAAAGTTCATTCCATGGTATGACAAATGTTGCAATTGCAATGATTACGTGAGAAAATAGCCCAAAATGTGCCGATCTACTCTAATAAAGTTTTCCTTTGGAATAATCTTTTCTTTTCGTTCACGACGTAGGGAAAGTTACTTTACGAAAGCGCCCTGCACACCGCCTGCTTTACCTTGGACACCAAGGGCGTGCGGATCCGGGGCGAAGCGATGGGGTGGCACACAGCCACGTAGCGGTCGGCCGACATGATGGTGAGGAAGATGGAGGAGGTGAACTGGTTGATGGAGGTGGACGTCATGTAGGCCTTGCACATGAGGTTGCCGAAGGGCCACAGCTGCATGGACATGGTGGCCAGCAGGAACGGAATGCCCACCAGGAAGCACTCGTCCGCCACGGCCAGGTTCACGATGTACATGTTGGTGACGGTCTGCATCTTGGAGAAGCGCAGCACCACGTAGATCACCAGCGAGTTGCCCAGAAGCCCCACCACGCACACGGTGGCGTACAGCAGCTGCGGAGCACCACACGCGCACATTGAATAACAACAACAACAACAACAACAACAACAATAATAATAATAATAATAATAATAATAATAATTATTATTATTATTATTTTGGAAAAAAACGAAGTTCCAATGTGTTTCTTTAGCCGTGAATGTGTAACTACTGGGTTTTAAGTTTGAGAAATCATTGCACTAACTAAATATTTTACAAACAATTCTGGCATATACCTACCGAGACAATGTATGTACCAAAACACAGTAAGGGAAAACAATTATTTTGACAAAAGAAAGTTGGGATATTTTTCTTAAGATATAAGGACTAACATTGAGTTTTAAGCTGGAGAAATCATTGATCTTACTAAATTTATTTACAAACAAGTCTGGTATGAGACATTGGGTGCTCCTTACCAAAACATAGTGAGGGGAAAATCATTTTGACAAAAGGAAGTTCCAATAAACTCGGTGAATACCGCAGAAACTCCTGCGCCTCATTCATTGAGCGAGGTACAAACAAGTAATCTTAGCTCATATGGCGCCGGCTGGAGTGCAAATTTAAAAGACATGCTTGTACCACGTTGGTTAGGAAGCGCCAGTGGTGACATAAACGCCTCGGAACATGTATGCGGGAATGTACGATCTGAATTCAATGTAAATACATTCTTACTGGGGTAGATTACTTCTTTTTACTTATCCACAAGGGCTAATATTTTTCTTTAACCTTAGTGTGTAACTATTTGATTTTAAGCTAGTTAAATAACTTAACTTACTAAATATAGTTACAAAGAAGTCTGGTTTAAAGTTACGCCTTTACGCAAAAACCTGGAGAATATGCAATAGTGCGTAAAACACATTTTCGGAAAGAGTGTTGGTTACTGAATTAGACTTAACTTTTCCATATTCAGAATATTTAAGAATTCTAGAAGTTTGAATCAGTATAATTATTTTACTATACAAATGGGAGATATGAAAGTAGACAAAATCAGGAGAAAACAATACGCAAATGAAAGAAAAACAAATGTACGAAGTAATAGACCTATAATTGACACGAGAATTACAATCAGATTAGAACACAAGCAAACATGAATTCGCAAGAAACACCAACGTTAGTTCTTTCTCTCTCCTTCCCTCTTCCCTCTCTCTCTCTCTCTCTCTCTCGTTCGAATAAAATACTAAAATCATAAGCTATTCAGTCCGATAATAATTTTAACATCTAATGAATATGTTAGCCTATGACTATGCGACACAGTAGTGCATGTATATACCTAATAATCTTATGAATATTCAATAATCATTTATAGTACTATACCATCATTAGTAATTTTAATAATATTATTAATAATAATAGTAATAACAATTATGAACTATTCTAACCTAACAATATCTACTGTTAGTTTGACTCGATCATTGACTGTCAAAAATCTGTAAAATACGTCACTATTATAAGTTATTTTTAAATAGTTTTAAAGAACGCCCGTCGTCAGAGGCTGAACATGTTATGGCATGATGAAACGTATAAAAATAACAAGTGAAAACAGCAATTCGTAAATACCTCATAAATGAACGAGTAAGGGTTGATATCGTGCGTTTTATTACGTGAGTAATGTTCATTTTCGTTATGTGTTCAAAAGATAGGGAGTAATTAAAGGAAACGGTAGTGTGTTTTCATTATCTGAGACTTCATAAAACGCTCGCTTTATCACAAACCAAATGAGCAGGTGTCGTTTGTACTTTCGACCTGTTGGTTTCTTTCATTATTATTTTAGAACGAGTGGTTTCAAATACACAGAACTCAATAATATAATGTGAACAATTCCAATTTACTTCACAGATAGGAAAATACAATTTTAAAATGTTTGGAAAACTACTCCGCCCATATTTACCGTATGCAGATAAGAAGACAAAAATGAATGAGAAATACCGCTATGAAAGTAATAAAATGATATATCATGCAATGAACTTTTGGTTATCAGTAGTACTTATTTCTGATATGAACTAAATCATTCTTTGTTTTTAATATTAATTCAGAAAAATCGACGATTTCCGGCGCACGATTACAATACTTTCTCTCCGTAGTGCCACGGCGAGAAAGTAAAAGGAGTGTTACCATGCTATGAAACATTTCATGTAATTGTAATTAAATATAAACTATCAGAAAATGGTTCTTCTTTATTAGTCCATTGATTCCCATTTTCTCATATGTCGGATGGGTATTTGAGGCAACGCAGCTCGCGGCAAGGCACTTTGGAGGTCTCTCGGAGCAAGACGCTCGATAACACATTGCTCTCAACAAGGGAAACAGTGCTGCAAACAAGGGTCAGGCACGCACGGTTGTTCGCAGTCTGATGTTATAATTCCATTATAAGCAATCGAGTTCGGGGACGGGAAAGTGAATTGTGTTTAGTGGCAGCGCGAATCTATCAACTGCGCATTTAGACGCATGCAACGATGCAGGGCATGGGAAAAGCATAGCTGCCCAAGAAGGGGGCGGGGACGAATGGTGTGGCAGGGGCGGGGTGGGGTGGGCGGGCGGGGCGGGAGAGGTGGGTGGAGAGTGGGTGGGCATTCTACAGCCACAGAAGACTTCCATGGAGAGAGAGGGGGGGAGAGATTCGCGAAACGAGGAGAGATGAGATGAAAGAAGGAATTAAGGAAGGAAACAATGAGACAGAACACTACTAAAGGGGAAAGAAAATAGGACGGATAGAGAAAATAAGAAGACGAATGATAAGAGAGGAGAGAGGGCGGAAGAGAAGGAGACACGTTGAGAGAAAAGGGGGGGGGAGATTCAGAGAAGAAATATTCATGAACATACGTAAAATGATATACATATTCTTGCGGATTATGTTTCACAAATAAGAAGGAAACTCTGAAGAGAGGATTGAATTTATGAAGCTAATGAACAGTTCGATGAATGAAAAATAATGTGAATATTTAATGAAACATATTTGGAAAAATATTATCCAAAAGAAAAAAGACTGAATGAACATTTACTAATTTTGTAGTGAAACATAAAAGATGAGAACAAGACAATGAAACTGTGAACAAACTTATTATAAAGTGAAAGGAAAACTCTTTAAATTGGAAATTATTAATGAAAATGCTGTTTAAAGTAACTCAATACCCGAATAAGAAATTTGTAAGATACGTTTTCAATTATTATTATTATTATTATTATTATTATTATTATTATTACTCTTTTATGTTGGTGTTAAGTACAAATAAACGATAAAAATATGAAAAAGTTTGGCTTATGACATAATGCAATGTTTAAGGAAAAACGCAATATCTCAGACAATATTTGGAACATTTATTAAATAATTGAAACATTATGTACTAATGAATGAACATACATCAGGGAGAATTAAATAATTATTTTATTTTTAAGGCACTTTATTAATGAACAACACGTTTTTAAAAATTTTTGAGATCTATGAACTGGAAAAATATGCACAAGCATTGAAAACGCTACTTAGGCCTTTTAATTATCGAATGAAAAATAAAATATTATCAAGTAATATAGAAATCAAGGAAGAAAAAACATGTGGGAGAAGAGGTGACATAATAAAGTTGTCCTTGTTAACAGTGTGAAAGCGTTGTACTGGATAGTTATGGAGAACTACAGTAGAAACACGAAATAAAAAGAGTAGCGAAAAAATACTACCAAACGAAGTAGCAATAGAATGACTGACGGAATGATGTATGACATTGTGAAGGTGTAAATCAAAACGAGTATGACATGAAGAAGGCAGGACCTCGAAGAACTCTAAAGTTGAACGTGCGAAAGCGAGGTACTGCGTCGAGAAAATATTGCTAGTACGTGCCTAGAAGTAGTAACGGATGCATGAAAGGGCGCCAGATGACAATAACAGGAAGGAAAATAAAATATGGCATGTACTCTCTTGACAAATAGGCAATGTCAAGATGAGGAAGTGGCGAGGAAAGCATACCATTCATAAACTGTTCGACGCGCCTTTCATTTTTTGATAAATTGCAACGCCGAGGGGTTATTTTGTAAGTCACCGAGCGTCTCAGTAACCTCTTCCGGCCAACGGACCTTCTCTGCCACGCGTCTTCCCTGACTCGTTGCTTTCCTGTCGTTTGCCTCCTAAGAGTCGGTGCTGTAATTAATGCGAATGGCCAACAATGGGGCAGGTACCACTGAGCAAGTTGTGCAGGAGAGACCAAGAAAGAAATCTACTCCAGATGATACTAGATCCATCTTACTTAGTTAACCGTTTTTACTTATTTATTCGTTAGTGCCCCCGTCTATTTTCTTGATTTATATTTGATCCTCAATTGCGATAGATAAGATATCGTTGTATAACTTAGTATAACTTAGTAATTTACACTACAGTATGTTCCTTTTTTTTCATTTTCATTCATTCATTATTTTCTATTTTGTAAATTTTTGTTCTTCTCTCCAACTCGAAGAGAAGAAACAACAAACTTAAATTTATAGAAATGTTAACTCCCGATGTAGATTACCTACAAAAGCGATGTTAAGGCTGGAGGGCAGAGATTAGGGAGGTGCCCAGGTGCCTCGAACCTTTAAAGTGCCCGGCTGACGCTTGAAAGTCACTTGTATTACAGATTTTCGAAATAAACAACATTATAAACTTCTAACCATCAGGGGGACAATTTCACATGCCTCATTGTTCCACTAAACTTAGTAAATTCAGGAAGGCGCGAGTTCTATAATTGAAAACACGTTCTCACAAATAGTTCGAAGATGTGTACCAAACCACTTTCAATTAAAAATGTATTTTTTAAATATTTAAAGTCATAATTATTATAAACAGGATCACGTGTTGGATTGCCACTAATGCTAGTCTGGTAGGGTGCTGTTATTGTATATTCCGTTGTGGCACTTGAAGCCAAACTCAGCTCTCTGAACTCAATCGGGAATCTCGCGCTATCTAGCCACTTTCTGATGACATCTTACTTACGCTCGACGTCTTAAATCTTAATATTAAACAAAAATGCGTTTTGTTCATGTTAGTACTTCTTCCGATGAGCTGCAATTGCTGCCATTTGATCTGAATTCACTGTAGAAACTGGCAAAAAAGATTTTGACTGACTTTCAAGCAATTGGGTTGAAAGCTGTCGTGGATTATGACCAAACAAATCCCTGAAGCTTATCTTACTGTGATATGGTTTTTTTCACGTGAACATGTTTGAATGATTAAGTATCCGCAAAGAACTCACATACAAAGGTACAATAATAAACAATATTACATTTTTTCTGCCACTTCGCGTTATTTGCAACGCTTTCTGAAGGGCAGCGCAGTAGAACAGGTGATGTGATGTGCGTCAGCACTCGCCAATGCTTACGAACTGGGAAACGAGGGCTCTCGTTGTGACCTGGAAGGTATGCTGTTGGCACACCTCGCCATCGGAGAGCGTTGAACGGGATATCAGTGTCGTAATAGCCTTCACATTCAAAAGAGGAGCGAAGCCAATTGTTGAACTGTTCTTTTTCAACGAACTACTCTCAAGTTGGTTACTTCCTAAACTATACATTCGGGAATCGCTGTAAATTTCCCAGGCTGTGACTTTGTTGCAAGGTTATTCACCTCAGAATGTAGGTGGTAAAGTATCAGCGTACGTAAGACCAGCCCTTCCTTTTTTCGCTCCGCGTTTCGCAATGTGAGATTTAAACGTGTGGATGCCCATCTCGCTCTTGTGAAGTCTTGTCGGCTAGCAAATGTCAACACCGCATTCGCCACTGCCATCTCCACAGTTTTACTGCTCGCATTTTGACGGTTTGTTTGGAAATGTGTGACTTGTTAATTATATTTGTTAAAACTGAATACATTCAAAGTGGCGGGACCCATTTATTTGAAACCTATTTCACTTATGAATTCTAAATATCTCTCTATTCTCTCAAATTTGTATAGTGAATTGAATAAAAGGCCGGTAATAATAATAATAATGATAATAATAATCATCATTATTATTATTAAAACAATAATATCAAACTATATCTGTGAGAACGTATATTCTTTTTGAAATAAAGGTATGGAAAATGTATTGGTGGTCCATAGCGTTTCCAAGGGGCGTAATGTGAAGGTTGCCATTTATAACTGTGTTTTGCTGGCGGTGGCGAGAACGCGCTTCTGTGCTGGTAGCGACTGTTCTCCACTGAGCACCACAGTAGCGCGACTACACCAATCGTGTTAATATCTCCACTTAAACCAATGCTATGCGAGAAGTAATGCCACTCGGAAGTGCTGCTGAGTGGCTCCGTGTGAAGGATCTCTAAGGCAGCCTTCGCACGGAGCTACTCTGTGGCGCCGCCGGAAAGTGCGCAGCCCCTTCGCACGTAGCCGCAGCCCAACGCCACTGACCGCGAGAAAGGAAGGGTTCAAGGATTCGGGTGTCACACCGCTGTGCGCACCGGCAGTCGCACGCCAGTCAACAGGTAGAGAGAGATTCGGTGACGCGTACCAGTGTCCTAGTGTGAAGACTGCCATTTAAAGCTGTGTTTTGCTGGCGGTGGTGCGGACGCGCGTCTGCGCTGCTGATGGCCAGAGTTTAACACTAAGCGCCAATGCAGCGCGTCTATGCCACTCGTGTAAATATCTTCATTTAAACCAACGCCTTGCCAGTAGCTGCGTCACTCGGATGCGCGACTAGCAAAACATTGGTTTAAATGGAAGTATTCACACAAGAGGCAGAGGCGCGCTACTGTGGCGCTCAAAGGCGTACTCCCGCCAGCAGCATCGCATAACCGCGTTGGCGCCACCGCTAACAGAACACAGATAAAAATGGCAGCGTTCACACGAGGCACGCCTCTAAACCGGTCTTTGCCCGCCGCCTGCCTTTATCTGCCGCCACTGGTGTTTGTCGGTCGTCCACACCAACAGCATTGTGTGAAACGAAACGCGGTCGGCGGCGGCCGCGGTGGCCGGCGATGGCTGAGAGGAAAAGACTGTGCCGCTCTGTGTTGCCACCGACTGGCTCCTTGCGAAGGCATCCTAAGAGCTGGAAAGAGGTTCGCTCCCAAAAGAAGTCACAAAGAAGCGAGTCTGACCTGCGTGATGAGGTAGAGCGTGGGCTGCTCCACGTCGCAGGTGAGCATGCCGTGGTCTTGGTCGGGCGAGCAGGTGGCGTTGTCGGCGGCGTCGCAGACGCTGGCGTTGTCGGCGCCGCCGGCGGCCGTCGACGACGCGTTGGGCCACGCGCTGCTGGTCCACGGGTAGTCCACCACGGGGGCCGCGTCCGTCGTGCCGTTGCCGGCGCCCAGCAGCAGCAGCGCCGGGTCCTCATGGCGGAGCGGAGCGTGCGCCTCTGCTACTGCCGCCGCCGCCGCCGCTGGGCCGCGCCTTCGGCCGCACGCATGCGGCCCGGCCCGCCGGCCGCGCCGCCCCCGCCGGCGCCCGCGCCCGCCGCGCGCCGCCACGCGTCGCTTCAACCTGCGCACACGGCACGCACACGGGGATCAGAACGGGCGACTCTCGACACAAGAGACAGGTCACTCTGAAACAACGTCCTTAAGGACAGCATGGCAATTACATTTATTTTTTTTTTACTTGATTTATTTTTGATATAATATGCAATTTTTTTCTATGGAGAAATATAAACCTTTTGATGTACCAAAACACATTTTTTATTGTGTTATTTGTAATTACATAATATAATACCAGTTGAACCCGCTAAGATATTTTGAAGGGCCCAGACGCGAAGATGTGCACCGAGGTTCCTTACCGCCTGAACCATGGGCCCCTCTCTGAAGCCATAGAATGTTCTGTTAAAATCGATTCTTTTCGCTGTAGCGTATTTTCCCATATCACGTAGTATACGACAAAGTACAAATTCCTGCAAATACATCACAAATGAGCAAGTTGCTTCACGTCTCTTTGACTATCTCATTATATCAATTTAGGACGTTTTCCGTTTAAGCAACGACGTACAATATTTGGACAGGGCAGAAGACTTTCCTTTGAATATTCCAGTAAAAGGTCATACGATCCGCAAAGTCAGTTGAGGGTGTGAACTAAACATTACAAAGTGGCGCTGGTTGGTAAGATAATCCGGCACATTCTAAAGAAAGGACAACCGTTGTATATAATGCCCTTGTCATAACATAAAATGACTATTTTCCAAAGAACATATTGACAGCATGGAGATAATGGTATTACCTTAAAATGGTTAAAAAGCCACATATTTCGTTCATGGAAGTTGCCTCAAACCTGCTCCTGCTTGCATGCTGACTAGGTTTGAGTCGAGAACTTTAAACATGAATCACAACAACCTATTAGTGTATTTGCCGACATTTAAGATATAAGCTCGTCTAAACCTTCTCTACTTTTAAGAATAACGTTGACATTGACGGGCAGTAGAGGGTTAACAGTTTATTTCATTTCATTTAAGTGTTACCTTGGTTTGAAATTAAACTTTATTTGTAATGGTGATACGCCAAAATATTTCATCATACATCAACAAACAGAGAACGTGCATTCCCACTTAAGTGTTGTAACAGGTACCGTTTGTTGGACTCCTCTGTCTTCTTATTCAATAAACGAAGTGGCACTCTTACGTGGTGCTCGTTGCAGCAAGTGTGTCACATGTGTACGGTTGCGTAGAAAGTGTCTCACATTCTAAGAAGAATATCAAAACAAACTTACTGTCTGAGAAGAAAGACAGAATTCTTACATTACGTTACGAATATCTTTATTTCCTCGATTTAAATATTACATCACTGTGCTAAAAAAAATACATTTTAGCTCTTACAAATTAGTAAACGTATCAAAAGAAATTATTGAATATTGAATGTTAATAAGTGTTAAATACTGTAATATTCTTAATACATTGTATTTTCTGTATTCCCTGAATGTTAACGACGGGCAGAGCATCTCGTTTGGATATTTTGTGCGAAACCGGCGTTTTCTTTTTGTTTTACATAATCTAAATGTATCAGTACAAGGTGAGGTTGATAGATTGGAGAAGACGCTGTTAATTATTCATTTACTCTAATGGTCAAAGGGTTTGATTTGCAAATCCTCTGTGATTTGTATGTTCGGAATAAATAATTGACTTTTTATAATCTCGAATGAATTTATTGCCTTTCAATTCTAGCACTGTTAGATTCAGTATAGTAGGAAAGCGTAACCTTTATAAACAGTAAAAATCTTGTATAAATTTCTCATGTGTCTGAATATATTATTATAACAAGAAATGTGGACTTTAATACCCTTGCAAAATATTTATGTAGAACAAGAAGTACAAATATTTTATGAAATGCATCTGGAACCTACAAATGCTAATCTAATCTAATCTAATCTAATGCTAATCTACAAACTACATTGAAGACGTAAGGTATTTTCAAGCATTCGATATGTTCCTTTATATTTGTATTCAGCTCATTAGTTTTGTTTATTACGTGTAGTAATAAAGATGTCATTCATATTTTCAGTATAAATAGCTTTTATTTTATTAAAAATCTAAAATCATTATAATAAATATTTTAACACTAATCAATATTACTTAAAATAGCCAGTAAGCATGAAGTCTATAATCCACCAACAAAACACGTTACCTAGAGCTCAGTAGGTACAATGCCGTCGCATTTCTATGAAAGCAACAAGCACGAACATTACAGTGAAAGCACATTAGCATTGTCTATTCAAGTAGTGGCCGTCCACATGTCCTGCAGAAACTAATTTTCCCATCCGCCTGGACCGCCCTCTCTCGGATGCGGCGCAGTCAGCGGTCACGCAACGCGATCAAGGCGACAAGTAACATAATAAGCAGCGTCCATTTGGCCTCCTTCAGCGCACGGCACGACACGAGCATGCATTTCTCCACCCATTTCAGCACCAGGTACACTTGAAATGGTCAAATAGTGTTGCTCAGCACTGTATCACGGCATGTTTGTTTTTTACATATGGGTCTACTAAATTTACCACTAAAACCCCAGTTTCTTCCGAGAAATGGATATGTGACTTCAAGTATATTTGTACATAAAATAAAAATTCTACAAGAAAATGACATAATTATTTCTATAATGTAAATCGGTGTTGTTGGGGATGACGTGAGATGGTGTTCGGAATGTTGAATAGAATGACGTATTTTATGGACATATCGACAATTGGGCCAATAGTGACATTACTTATATTTTAAAGTTCTATAATGGATTGTAATTTCATTTTAGATTTACCAATTCATAATGATGCATTTCACATTCAGTTCAATAATATTTTTCTCTTCTTAAATTAAGTTCTCGAATAAAAACATGTTAAAGAGAAGGCTTTTATTATGTTGTTCAACAATACTTCATGCCAGATAATCATGTTCTCACACACCGGTAATTATTGCTCTCATATAGATAAGAGGGAAATAGTAATTATTTTGTATATCCAAATGCTGCAAATTGTATGTAAATTAATTTAAAAGTAATACTATAAACTTAATGAAAAGAATACTATAAACTTAATGAAAAGACCTATCCACTTGCGTTGTGCCTACACATCTTTGCATAAAACACGATACATACAAGGCCATCGGCGCTATTTTGTACAAGACCACCCGAGCTGTTGTTGAGGATAACTTGGGGGGACTAGATATTGAGGAGCAATGAAGCACGGATTTTTTGCAAAACTTTATCATGATGAATTCAAACTTTCTCCATAAATTAACGTCTCTTTTAGAACTGCAAATGCAATGGCAACTATTACAAACATATACCTACCCTTCGTGTTTTAGATACTTGTGGTATCCTCGCACTAATAGAGGAGAGTGCTGGCGTTACGCTCTGCCGATCCCGATGGAAGAGGAATTCTAAGAAGCGTACTCGTAGACCTTCACCTGCGGAACCGCCCCCTCTTGAGCGATATAAAGAGGATGGCAGCAGAAAGGCAGAGAAGTCGCCAAACCTTTGCATACTGCCATCTGCTACCAGGACCGTCACCGGGCTCTTACGAGATTCGTTTCGCCTACACCCACTCGCTACATTCTATTTTCCGATATAAATAGAGTGACTTCTGACGTTCGTTCAATTGAGAAGCGGTTATCCAATCGGAAACTCTATTACCAAAAATGAAGATCCAGATTGCTCTCGTCTCCTGCGGATGCAATACTAAACTGTAAGCGGGATAAACTGGCAGTGAACAGTGAATTTGGAGTATTATCACCCAATTATAGGTTTGTGCTTTTAAAATTATCACCGTTCAGATTGTGACACTGAACAGAATTGCGACAAAACTAAATACAATGCCGTGCATTGCAACTCAGAAATGCGTGTCGTAGAACATCGGTAAAATATTTCTTCTGTACGTTATGCTAATGCCCAATACCGATTTGTTTGATTCTCTTCATCGAGGGATATACCATTTGTACGAGTTGAGGCCGACGTTCAGAACCGACATTTAAACTGTATTTTCATTCAGAGTAAACACAGTCCGTCGCCCGACGTTCATGACCATGCAGCTAATCTGAATACTACTCGTAACTGTATTGACTGATGTTGTATTCATTGGTATGAATAAACAAGTATAAAGTAAGAGAAGAGAGTTGTGAACTATATTAACATCCATTACATTGACTTTCATACACTACGAGTAATGATAACTTTTAGAAGTTCAATTTGACCATTATTATGACATTTTCTCTAACTTTTAGCGGTGTGTGAGTCACTCCCATGTAACATCTTATAATTTCGATTTATCGGTGCGGTTTACCGTCACCTAACTCACGGGTAATCTCATTAAAACGAAACATTTACTACATCGAATCCCATTGAGCACCTCTATACTTTGGTATGTAAACGTTTCTGTGATTGGTAAACACTTGTACAATAATGAACATCCATCATAATGACTATCATTATGCAACACGCTGCAACCATCTTATTAATATAATTATGCAACAGGAGTAGAAAAATAGCGTACAGAGTTTTAAATCGAACATCGCTCATTCTCGTTCCTTAGTACAATTGAAGTCATTTGGGCCCATTCCGCTCCGTGGACAATGGCGCGTGGGCGGAGACGCACGGACAAGAGAACGGCGGCAGCGGCGGCGCGGCGCGACAGCCAGTGTTAAGTGAAGTGTTTGTCAAACGGGCGGGATTGTCAAATGTCGCGCAGTGGCACACGTTATTATGTCGTCACAGTGGCGGCTAATTGGAGTCCGCGCGGTAAACAGGGAGAAGGGGAGCGGCCGGCGATAAGGGGCGTGGCAACTAAAGAGAGAAGCATCGGGTAGATGTTCTCTTGTTTTGGGCTCGTTCGTAGTGTTAGGTAAGGGCGTAGACGTACGCAACTTAAAACAGAAAAGGAGGACAATCACATTTCTGAGCCCCCTTTTACACTGAACGTTTTTAAATTTATGTACTATGACGAGATATTTACGAGAAAATAAATAAAGTATAATTCAAATATAATTATAATATTTCATTAATGATTACTATATGTTGGTA